GGCATCATGATCACATGTCGTCCGTAGCCGTTTTGGCTCTAGCCTTTTTGGCATTCCATGGATATGCGCACACGAGTGCGCTTAGGCAGTGCGCCATTGCCATGATCTCCCCATGAGCTGTGGCAAGAGAAAACGAGAAGCTCATTGGCGACCCGCTGATGGACAGGGCGAAGCATCAGAGATCATAGCGAACGCAATTTCAGGAGACATCGATGAGATTATTGCCAATGATATTTACCCATCTGACGATATGAAACGTGGGATTTCGCTGGACCATCTTGTGGTTGCGAGCGACTCTCTGTTCAACCTTGTGGTTGTAGACCCTCGAGGGGGTTACTTCGGACAAGGAGACGTGCTCGTGGCGACTAAGCTCGCGCTCATGCGCAAGCCGTCTTGCGCAATCAAGCTCAGGAAGATCGGAGTCAATAAGAACAAGAACGAGGACCAAATGCACACGTTGCTGGCGTATCGCATCCGAGTGATGCTGTCGCACGTGCGTCTCAAGTTTGCCGCTTGGATGAAGATTGTATCAAAATATGGCCGCACGGCTGCTACGGAGGAGCCTCACGTGGCTGGGCACCCGCACCAGCTCCAGAAGTTGCACGCAGTCATGGAGGAGTGTGCGGCGCCAACGACGCCACCGACTGGGGATGAGAAGAAATTGCGCAACCCGTTCCCAGCGTTCAGGACCCCGACGCCCAAGAGAGCAGCGACGCCAGCGTCTGCGAGATCGAGCCCGCTGTCGGCGTCAGGTGCTGCTGCTACTCCTTCGCACGTCTCGATCGTGGACAGCGGCCCACGCCACGCGATGGCGTCGCCAGTCAGCCCCCCGCCCATCGACCAGCCCGAGGCGTTTCATATTTCCGACGAGGGCGATCGGGCCGTCATCGACGTTGTCCTTGAGGGCGGGTTGATGACGAGGCTCATGGAGGATGGCGAACGCATCCCCTGCGTCTCGCAGGCACGAGGCGACAACGGCTTCGTGATCGCCGCCTGGGAGAGCGGCGACGAGCTCGAGACCGAGATCTTGAACAACCGCCTGGGCGATGATGGGATCATCAGCGACGTGAAGCCGTTGCCGCTACAGCTCAACAAGAGCGACAAGAACAAGAAGAGACCGTTGGAGGACGACGACACCGTCAGGAAGCGGCCATCTGGGCAGATGCGAAAGCCCGCAGCTGCTGCGATGATGAAGCCTTCAGCTGCGCCGATGCCGAGGCCAGCCGCAGCTGATGTGGTCCCAATTCCAGCACCAGCAGCTGATGTGGTCCCAGTTCCGGCACCAGCAGCTGATGAGGTCCCAGTTCCAGCACCAGCAGCTGATGTGATCCCGCTCGATGAGTTGGGCACGTGGCGAGAGCATGCTGACCCGCTGCCTGAGCCTGCGCATCCTCTTGCGGCGCCTCTGGACCATTACTGCATGGACCTGCGCCTGAGGAACGGCCATCAGGGTAGTATGACGGTTATCGTGTGCACGGCGGCTGCTGATAAGAAGCAGGTGCTTCAGTGCTACCCGCACGAGCACAGAGACCCGAAGTATGTCTGCGAGGAGGTAGTCAAGAAGCTCTTGCCATTTGTCCAGAACACGCCTGTGCCCTCACGCAAGTTGTCTAGCCTCCCAGATACGTTCTTTGAGGACCTCCGTGCGCGATGCCGCGAGGCTAAAGATGCTCTCATTGGCTAGCGCGGCTTCTGCTGTCAAACAATACAATCATCTTTCATCGTCATCGTCATCATCATCATAACCACCATCATCACCATCATCATCATCAGCATCACCATCATCAGCTTCAGCATCATCGTCAACATCATCATCAAAGTCATCAACAACATTATCATCACCGCCATCGTGATCACCACCCTGATCACCATCCAATACCTTCCGTGGCAAACCCCTGCCCCGTCCCCACATCCTCGGGCACGCAGTCGGCGTCGTCCAAGTTGCAATTCTTCCAAATTGCCTCCGCGAGAGTAAGGGGGGAGGTGAACACGGAGAGATCAATATGTCCCATCAATTTCCCACCCTCCCCCACCCTTCATCAGTATTCCTCCCACCGCACTCCCGCATCCCCATCCACTCTAACCTCGCTCATCCCCCCCCCCCTCTCTCCCCTGCAATCCTCCATCTCCCTTCCCACCCCAAACTCCTTCCCACCACCCCACTTTCACCAATCCTCCCCCGCCTCCCCTCCCCCCACATCCTCCGATCGGGTAGCCCTTTTTGGGCGGTGGAAAGGTGACGCGATGTTCGCAATGATTGCGTTTCTCCGCCAACGGCATCAAGGGTCTTCCGAGGCTCGATCGCGGCCCCGTCGGGCCCGCCCTTTTTGTATTACACTTCTTTTGTGCCGCTGGCCTCCCCCATCGCACCCAATGACGTCGCTCGTTCGGTATGCCGCCTGCCGCGCCGCCAGGCTAACATCATGATGAGGCGGCTGATCTACCTATCGGTTGTGTGCTGCATCAGGGGCGCGCACTGGGTCATGATGAGCCCCTCGGAGAGCCAGGTCTGGAGCTTCCCTTTGTTGACGAATCTGGCCAACTATTCTCGAGCCAGGGCATGTGACGTATCGCTGTCAGCGTTTGACGCTGTGTCTCAGCGGGGGCCACAACTCCGCCTCATGGGATCGCCTTGGTGGGTTGCACTTCTGGGTTGTCCGCCAGCAGCTGTTCGCGCAGAGCCAGGACAGTGTAGCTCGACGGCTGCGGCGATGAAGATGTGCCAGGGATTCAATTACTACGCAGCCCTCCCTACTAAATCCTACATCCCACCCATACGTACACACACGCCCCACACACCCACAGGCTTCGTGCACCAGATAATGGTCCCACATCAGCAGTACTTGTTTAATGGCACCCTAGCAGGCACCTCCTGAATCGTTGGGCCACTATGTGTATGCACAGATCAACCCCCCAAGGTTCTACCTCAAGCTGGTGCGGACCTTCAAGATGCACGTTGACACGCCAGCCTCCAGTTGTGCTACTTGGACTCCTGTATTCTCGGAGCTGCAGAGCACCAACGACTTCGAGAGAGGCGAGGGCTGGCTGTCCGTAGACGTCAAGGCGTCTCGACAACACGTCGCCCAGCCCGACGACGAGCAGTCGATGACACGTGGGGCATCCTCGGCGCATGAACCTGCAACTCAGCAAATCGAGAGTTCGTCTCGATATGACCGCCACTTGGGCGACAAGGAAGCTGCGCGTCGTGAGCAAGCGCGCGCACGACTGCAGGCTGCGAGTGCAGGAGGTAGCGACCCTGTGTCGATGCTCAGCGACACGGACCCTTCAAGTTCAAGCGAATTGGACATTGTCGGGGCGCTACCCGCTGAAGATGATGGCAGCGCAGCAGCAGGGAGCTCCGCGAAGGTCGTCTCGGTCAAACCCAACATCAAGAAGCGAGTGCCACGTCGCCGCGGCAAGGGCAAGCAGAAGGAGCGCACCAAGAAGAGGAACCTGAAGGCTGCCACACCGTCGCCCGCGAAGCAGGTTGCCCAGCACCTGAAGGACGAGAGCCTCGCCAAGAAGATCGCCGAGGCCGATGGCGTCGACTTCGACTCCGACGACGTGGCCTTGATCGACCTGCCTGGACAATCCTCTGGTTCTCGCGTCGAGGCGCCTGCAGCGCCCGATCCCTTGAGCCAGCTGTCGGACACCGACGGCGACGGCGAGGGCCCCTGCCCTTTTCCAGCCTTCAGGTAGAATCCTGGAGGCAGCGCCAATGCCGCTGCGTCTGCAGTGCACTTCGACCGTGGGAAGTGCCAGGCGAGCGTCTTGCGCAACGCCTCGATTTCTCTCGTATTCGAATTTCCTCAGTCATCGTCGCTCTTTTCTGCCCCATCCCCACTCCTCCTTCTACCCCTCCTTACCTTCTCCTCTCCCACCTCTCCCACTCCCCCCCTTCCCCACTCCTTCTTCTAACCCTCCCTCCCTCCTCCTCGCGCCTCGCCCTTTTCCCTCCTCTCCTGGTCTCCCCCCCCTTGCCCCCCTTTCCCACGCCTTCGGCGTCTCGTGGTTCCCCAGGGCTCGGAACGGGCCCGCAGAAGACGTTCCACTGAGAAAATCACTCCCCGACGTTGTTGTCGTCATGTTGACAAAGGATGTAGATTTTGCAGAACGTTCGACCGATAAATTCGGCTTCTGTCGCCGTTCTCGTCCTGCAAGCGTCCGAGAGCCCAGGCTGGGCGCGGGCGTCATCGCCAGCGTCGTCGCCGTCGCCCCTCAGCCCCTCCCATCTCCACCTCTTCCGAGCGCTCGAGAGCCCAAGCTGTGCCAGAGAATCTGTAATTTTTTCTGTAATCTGTATTTTTTTCTGTAATCTGTAATCTGTAATTTTCATGTTATTGATAAAAATCAATAAAAACCAATGGTTTTTCAATGATTTTCAATAGTTTTCATATTATAGAAAACGTTTGAAATTACAGATTACAGAAAAAATTACAGATTCGTGCCGGCTGCGAGAACCCCATCTGGGGACGGAGACGAGCCGCGTCGGGCCCTGAAAGGGCTCGAGGAAATCCGTATCTGACCTCTGAGGGCCCGAGGGCCGGCCCGAGGGAACCCACAGCGCGAAATCCTTGCGAAAGATGAAGTCGAGAGCTCCTGCACTGATCGTTTCTGATTGCATGATTCGCGGGGCCTCAGTCCGCGTCGGCGTTGCCTCTGCCGTTTACACGGCCCAGGTGCTTCGGCTCGCGCCCGCGAGCCCGTCGCGCTCTCGCGGGCCCTCGCCCCGCTCGAGACGCACTGGTAAGGAGATTCGCCCTCTGTCTATCAGTGCCCTCCTCCCTCGATCTCTCATTCCCGAGTCCTCCTCCTCTTCCTGCCGCTCCTCCTTCTCCACCTTCCGTCTTCATCCTTCTTCTTAGCCTACACCTCCTCCCGCGCTACCCTCCTGGCTCTCGTCGACCCTCCCTTCCTCTTCCTACCCGCGCCCACCGCCTCCTGAACACTCCTGACAGAGGGCGTCTGCTTCTTCTGGGCGTATTTCGCCAATCAGAGCCATGGCTCCGAAGCTGCGCACCCGCTCGGCGGTGGACGACGACAGATCGGCAGCGGACAAGACGCCCAAGGCGAGGAAGGGCGGTGGCAAGGGCGACGGCAGCGGCAAGAAGCGCCCCGCCAACATGAGCACCGAGAAGGAGACCAACGCCAAGAAGGCCAAGGGTAAGAAGGTCAAGCAGGAGGTCGAGGAGCCCATGGCCGCGGTGGTCAAGACAGAGATTGCTGCGGACGTGAAGCCCGCTAAGGAGCCCGTCGCCGACGCTGGAGTGAATGAGGGGGGCCTCGCCGCGCTGAAGAAGCTCAAGGAGCCGAAGTCCGTGAAGGTCGCCAGGGAGCAGCTCGCGGAGAAGCAGGTGGACCTCAAGCTTGACGGCTGAGCAGTTGAAGGAGCAGCTCCCGCAGAGCACCCTCAAGCAGCTCTACAGCTGCCTGTCTTCGACCCTGAAGACGCACGCGCCCTCCTTGCACGAGAAGTACCTGGCAGCCATGAGCGACGCCGAGCGTCGCTTGTGGCTCACGCGCTTCATCATCGACCCGAACAGCGGCGGCTGCAGTGGCTCGACCAAGACGGCGGTCTTGGGCAGCCTAAGACCTAACCCACCCTCCTCCCCCTCCTTGGCCCAGGACGAGAAGGAGGGAGATGAGGGGGCGAAGGGGGGTGGGGGAGGAGGAAGAGGGAGAGGGGGGGAGGGGGAGGAAGAGGTGGGGGGAAGGAGGACGAGGGCCCAGGAGGAGGAGGAGGAGGGGGAGGAGGAGGAGGAGGGGGGGGGGATGAGGAGGAACTGCAGCAGCAGTAGCAGCATTAGCAGTAGTAGCATCAGCAGGAGGCGAGGGGAGGAGGGGGAGAAGGAGGAGGAGCAGGAGGAGGATGAGCAGGAGGACGACGACCAATAGCAGGATGATCAGGAGCAGAACGTGGCCCTTGGGGTCCAAGTGCTGTTCTAGAACAGCTCGGGCCTCCGACTACACCCTTACTTACGCAGATCCGATGAATCCCTCTCAGCACTAACGAAGGTGAAGTCGGAGACGAAGAAGCTCACACATGATGGGTGGATCACCAAGACGCAGATGGCGTGTCCGAACTACGCTGGTTCCCCAGAGCACGCCGAGATCTACTCGACGTTCTTGCCGAGCAAGCCTCACGACCACGAGGCCTTCCGCAAGCTCAGCGTCATGCTGTACTGGTGGAGCGCAGAGAGCATCCAGAAGTGCGACGGCAAGTCGGAGTCCACGGAGGTGGTGTCCGCGGCGGAGATGTCATCGTCCGCGTACGACCAGGTGCGGCAGGCGATGCTGGACACCGCCGTCGGTGGTGACTCGAGCTTGAGCCGCCAGTTGACAGAGGGCGGCAGCAGCAAGCGCAGCAAGAAGCACCCGAAGACAGCCGAGCAGAAGGCCGCGGAGCAGAAGCAGAAGGAGGACATCGACAAGCAGCTGACCGTCGAGGAGAGGCGCCGCAAGCAGGCCGTGCAGGAGCTCGACACCATCCTGAAGAGCGCCAAGGCGTGGTGCAAGGACGGTGGCACGTCCTGAACACATTCCCTTCCCTTCTTCTCCCCATCCACCCTCCTCGAGGCGGAGGCTGGAGGCGACGGCGACGACGACGCGGGCCCATGAATACCCCGCCTCTCCGTCGACGGCGTCGAGGCGCCGACGACGGAGAGGCGGGGGATTCATGTCCTCGATTCCCTCGTCGATCCTCGGCCAACCGCCCCACCGAAGGAGGTTGGTTCCACGCTCGCGGAGATCCCGAGCATGGCCGAGAAGATGGTCCGCAAGGGGTGCCCCGACGCCATGCGGACGTTCCTCGAGCAGAAGGCGAAGACGACCAAGCAGGGCTTGGACACCTTCATCCTGAAGGACTACACGCCCGCGCGCACGCACAAGGACACGCTGAACGACAGCACCCCCGTCGCCGACATCGAGAAGGTCTACGCGGCCCTGAAGAAATCCTTCGACAAGATCAAGGCCCCGTGGAACGGAGGAGGAAGGAATGTCTGGCCATCCCCCCTCGCTCGCCATCATTATCCTCCTCATCCTCTATCCTTCTTCCCCCCTCCCTTCCATATGTCCTTCCGTCGTTCCTTTTCCGCCTGCTCCTCCTCCTCCTCCTCCTTCTCCTCCTCCTCATTCTCCCTGCACGCTTGGGCTATTTGTCAAAATGTTGTCCAACATCCTCCTCCTGCTCCTCTTCCTCCTCCTCCTCCTCCTCTTCCTCCTCCTACTCCCGCTCCTCCTTTTCCTCATGTTCCTCCTCCTCCTCCTCCTGCTCCTCCTCCCCCTTCTCCCAACTCGCGCCTCGAGAGGCCGAGTGCACGGAGTGGAAGAAGAGCAACTTGGACGACATCCGCAAGATGAGCTCGTGATGAGCCCGTGATGCACGCCGCCCTCATGCGAGGGCTCCAACCCCTAGAGACGGCAAGCAAGGGGCATGCCAGGAGGGAGATCTCTATAGAGGGATCGATCGGCTCGCTTGCTCACGGACCTCCCTCCCCCTCCGTTCCTCTCCCCCTCCCCCCCGCTCTGACTCTTCAATCAGCTCCATACCCCTGCGCCCACGGAGGGCCCTCGTCCCCATCACCACCTACCTCCGCAAGGGTGGAGAACGAGGGCACGGGGGAAGGAGGAGGGATGGGGTCGGCAACAATAAAACATGATATTCGTGCGTGTGGCTAAACGTTGCTCAAAGCTCCCTCATAGGTAGCGCCCCTTGGCCGCCGTGCAATGGTGTTGCACGGCGGCGTACGCCAACGCTTGCGCGAAGCTGACGCTGGTCAGCCGCCTGCTCAGCCGCAGGCCCTTTTTTTTCCCTCCCCTCGGCACGTGCTCGGGCTAAAAGTGCCGCTTCCGAGGTGAGCGACACCAAGCGTGCTGGAGGCCGTGGGGTGGATGCGTTCCTGCGGCGGAAGTTCTTCAAAGGTAGATTGGCGGCAACTGACGTTGCAGAGGGTGCTGCTGCAATTGCTAGGTCGTGCCCTACAGAATCCAGCTCGGAGATTAAAGACCTTGGCAAATGTAACAGGTACAAAGGTAATGCATATCGAGATGTGATGAGGCGTTTCGACAAACACTGTAGTCTGCCGCCAATATACCAGGCTTATATCCCAGGCTGGTGCCACAAGTCGAACGCGAGTAAGTCATTGCTCGCGTCGTTCCTTCTCCCGCACGAGGTGCTGAATCATTTCGCTGGCGGTTCGCTTGACAAATGGACCAGTTTTAGCCCTGCCCAGGAAAATTTACGGAAAACCCTAGCAGAGTGGGGCGAGAGGGTCGGCATCGACGCGGTGCAGGAGCAATTCTTGGGCATCGGCGTCTGGGGCGACGCGGCGCCCTACTCTCACCGTGATACTCTTTATCTAATGCTTTGGAATTGTTTGACTGGTGAGTATCACGAGAGGTTCTGGTTCGTCGCATTCCCGAAAAGGCTCAGCATAGGGTTCAATGGAAACGTTTACAAGTAAAGGCGTTCTTCCGTTGCATGGTTCGATATAGTTATGTGTTTATGTGTAGTGCTATTTCGCATATAATATATTAAGCTTCTATGAACTGCCACTCGTCTAGCACTGCACACTTATCCCGTGTTCTGCAATCTCGTCTTGACTACGTAATTCCGTCTGCACTCTGGACTATATTATGGAATCTGGAATTTCGTCTGTAATGTGTAAGCTCTGAAATGTCATGTGCAATCTGGAATTTCATCTGTAATCTATAGTTTCGTCTGCAATCTGAAATTCCGTCTGTAATCTGTAATCTCGTCTGTAATCTGTAATTTCGTCTGTAATCTGTAATTTCGTCTGTAATCTGTAATTTCGTCTGTAATCTGCAATTTCGTCTGTAATCTGAAATTTCGTCTGTAATCTGGAATTTCGTCTGTAATCTGTCACTTCTGTCCCCCGTCAGATACACGTGTGCCTGCGGGTGCCATGGTCGCCATACCTTCGAAGGCGTCTGGAAGGTCATGCAGTGGGTGCTGGAATCGTGTCTTCAAGGTGTGTTTCCATCTGCTCGGCACGATGGTATCAATTCCGCAGCGTCGCCATTCCAGAATGATATGTTTCGTAGTGAGCTGGCTGGCGCCCCCATTCTAGGGCGCGCTGCGTGCGTGCAGATGCGCGGCGATTGGTCGTGGATGAAGCAGGCATTCAACCTCACGGGATGGAGGGGAGAGGGTGCTAGGGGTGACGTATGCTGGATTTGCAGCGCCAACAAGACGGACAGGGATTACAGACGGGCGGATTCAGGCGCGCCGTGGCGCACAGAAAGATATAGCCACCAGAGCTTCGTAGATCGCTACCGCGCGGAGGCGCGGCTCCTCAGTTCTATCTTCGAGTGGCCAGGCTTCGTCCTCGACTACGTCGGGGTCGATCTCATGCACTCAGGCGACCTAGGACCGCTACTTAGCAGTTTTGCGAGGGTGACTGTTTCGGAAGGGGGAGGGCGGCATCGGGGCACTAGGTCGAGTCGACATCGACGTCGACGACGTCGACGTCGTTGTCGATGGCAACGGGGACAGGTTAATGTGTGATATGTTGGCCTCTCGCATCTGCTTGCCCTCTCGGTTTTGAATGAAACTAGCCCGTAGGAGTCGTAGTGTACGCGCTTGGCAACGTCTTTTGGGAGCTCTGGCAGGGCTTCGGAGGCACGGGCACGAAGGGCGAATCCCCTGCGAACCTCAAGGCGGCATCGCAGTTGCTGAACATGATAACTGTAGCAGCTCGGCATAGAGGGATGGAACCACCACTTAACTCTCTTACTTTAGGCATGGTGAAGGCAGAGAACGCTTACCCCAAGCTCAAGGTCAAGGCCGCGGAGGCCAGGTACATCTTACAAGCGACTGAGTATGTGCTGGAAAATTTCTACCCTAGGGTCAGCGATCACGATAAGCTTAGATTTGCGTGCATCTCTAAACTTGCTCAGATGTATAGGGTGATCGCTGACTGGACCCCTGGAGGGGCGTCCGCTGCAGCATGCCGTCGCTTAGGAATGCAACATGTCCAACTCTATGCCGAGCTCTCTCGTGAAGCTATAGGGATCAACAGGCACACAATATGCTGGCGCATGTATCCTAAACATCACCTGTTTCTACACAGCGTCGAGGAAGGTGTTTTGTTCTGGGATTCGCCAACGTGCGGGTGGTGCTACGCAGATGAGTCTCACATTGGCAAGGCGGCCACAAGGTCGCATAAGTGCCACTGCACCACAATCCATAGTGAGCTTCTGAAGCAATACAGGGTATGCGAGATGGTCGAGCTTTCTTTTTAATTTACTACGCACGGATTGCGCATGCTGGTGCGCAGGCCGCCTCATTTGCTGCGCACGTTTGTGCGCGTCTGCCTGTCTGCAAGGCTCCGCTCACGATAGGCGTCGCATGGGCGGGAACGCGCCGTGGCTCGGGAATCGACATACCCAACATGTGAAATAACAAACTGAAGAACTACACGTATGCATACTAGTTCCATGCGACGGTTGCCACGGCGCGCTCCCGCCACACGTTTACCTTCGCTGCGTCAGCGACGCGCTAGAACAAAAGTGCTATCTGGTCGTGCGGAGAGTGTGGACGAGGACCAAGCGAAGTGGGGAGGTGATAGAAGAGAATGGGGATTGAGGAGGACCTAGCCTCGAATCGATGAGGATTGAGAATCGGATCGGTCACAGCCCGATTATCGTTCCTCCACGCCCCCATCGATCCTCCTCGATCCCTCTCGGCCATCTTTGGAGGGCCCTGGGCCGAGGAGGACCGATAGGGGGCCGTGGAAGAGCGACAATCGTGGGAAGATCAAGCTGGTTCTCGATCCTCTTCGCTCGATCTCCGCCCGTGCTCCGCTCTCTTCGCTCGATCTCCCCCCCCCGTGTCGGGTCGCGCCCGCAGGTGCTCGACCCTCGAGCCGAGAGCCTCCGCCCGTGCTCCGCTGGGCTGGGAGGGGCCAGGAGGGGGGGGAAGTCAGAGGTGAGGAAGAGGAGGAGGAGGAGGAGGAGGAGGAAGAAGAGGCTGAAGACGATGAATGTGATTTGAAAATCTGACCGTCGGTTAATTTTCCCCCATCTCGAACGACGGGGGTGGAATAGCATATGTACGCGTAGCTCCCCGAACACGTCGAAAAACAAGTCGAACGAAATCCCTACGACATTCATCATCTTCAGTCAACAACCACGGGCGGAGGAGGAGGAGGAGGAGGAGGAGGAGGAGGGAGGAGGAGGAGGAGGGGGAGGGAGGAGGAGGAGGGGGAGGAGGAGGGAGGAGGTGGAGGAGGAGGAGGATGGGAGGAGAAGGAGGAGGCGGAGGAGGAGTAGGAGGAGGAGAAGGGGGAGGAGGAGAAAAGGATGAGGAGGATGAGGAGGAGGAGGAGGAGTAGGAGGAGGAGGAGGAGGAGGAGGAGGAGGAGGAGGAGGTCGGGGAGGGGGAGGAGGAGGTGGAACGGGAGCGGCGACAAGGAAGAGGAGGACGAGCAGGAGAGTAACGGCGGCGCCCAGACAAAACTTCGGCGCCTGCGGCGGGTTTCTTTTGCATTCGTTCAAGGTGGAGACCCTGTCCTCCTCCTCCTCCTCCTCCTCCTCCTCCTCCTCGCTCCTCCTCGCTCGCTCCTCTCGCTCCCCTCCTCCTCCTCCTCCTCCTCCTCCTCCTCCTCCTCCTCCTCCTCCTCCTCCCGCTCCTCCTCCTGCTCCTCGTCCTCCTCATCCCCTCCCCCCTTTTTTTTTCCGTTGCCATTTTGGCTCAAACCACCGTGCTCGCGGAACGCTGCGGGGCACGATGCGTTCCGCTGGGTCGTTCGCGGATGTTCGTCGGGCACCTCGCTGGCTACATCCTTGTTTTTTGTCGCTCGCGGCGCGTAAGCAATCGACAAAAAAATAGTAATCGATCTACTATTTTTTTAGACGTTTCTATGATTTTAGTTGAAAACTAAAATTATAATTTCGATGCGCGAACGACTAATTTTTTAGCTAGTCGGATGCTCTGGGTTCTGGAGGAGCGCCTGGTTTTCCGGCAGAGATGGCAGGCGCTGCTTCTTGCACCACGCCCCCACGTGTGCGCCGGCGTGGTACTCGTCGACGATGCATGCGACATCGGCCGCAAGCTCCTCGGCGATCGGAGAACTGGCCCGGTTCGCCTCTACCATCAAGCGCAAATGGCACGCGTCGTCGTGGACGATGACCTAGGCGACGGGGGCGGGGACAAGAAACATCGGACGCCCCCCCGCGGCCACGGGGCCAGGCTTGGAGGGCGTTGCGGCGCGCGGGGGGGGGGGGGGGGGCTGGTGCAGGAAGACGGTTTGGCCCGAATCCCGCCTTCAAATCTGGGTGCCGGCCCATTACATGGCCAAGAAGCGGCATCGCTGGGGCGCGGATTCCACCCCCACTAACTCGTCGATGTCGACGATGACCCCCGAGGCGCTAACCGCCGTCAGGAAGCCGCCGGTCCGGGCAGCGGCCACGATGTGGTTCGGGGTCTCCATATGCGTCCCGCACTCCGACTTCTGGCGCGGCCCCAACGAACTCCGCGAAGACATGAATGAACGCTCTCTCCTCCTCTTCAGTTTGGCGACAAACCGGGCGGCGCGGAACTCCTTGCGTCGCTTCCGCCGCTCCATCACCTGAGGGCGCGCAGGGGCAGCGCCGATCGCCTCGCGCGCGGCCCCCGCGGAAGCCGGGCCGAGCCCCGGGGTGACATGCAAAAGGCCTGGCCAGATCGCGGGGCGATCGCGCCCGGGGGGGCCCCCGTGCCGCCCCGCCCGCCCGAACGCGAGCATGGCAAACTAGGGCGGCCGCTTAATTGTGCGCTAGGTTGGCGAAATTATACGACAAGCGGGCCTCGTCTACAGTGCGCGCGGGCTGCCGCATGTCACAATGGCCGAATTTGACCTCCAAGTGCTTTGCGTCCTTACCGTCGTCCAAAGCCTTTTTGGCTCGGTGGGCCACGATCCGCATGTGGCTTTCCTGGCAAGCGAACTGGGCGTTGTCCCGGCCCCGAGCGCGCTTGCAGCCCAGCGGGTCTTTCTTGCCGGGGGAATTCGGGCAGCACCGCAAAAAGTACTTGTTCAGCTCCCCGCGCCAAGCCGCACTCGCAAACGGCATGCCACAAGTGCGACGGCATAGCTTAGCATTCCTATCAATTGCCAATATGTCTGGCCGGTCACCTGAAGATCCGAACTGACTCTTGCGCCCCCCTGCCATTAGGGGTCGTGCCGCGTCCAAGATTCGGAAATGCGCCTCCCCAGCGGCTCCTGGAGGATCGATGATGCAATCCCTCCTCGACGGCACGGGGTACACTGTGCTGCTCGCTCCCAAAGCACCGGGCCCACGCCTGAGACAGCAACTGCCGGGCTCCCACCGGGACGGACCCTTCGTGGAGAAGCTCCAACAACGCAGCTTCTCAGTGAAATGATGATCGCTGGAGGAATAACCTCGCGCCCCACTGTCTAAGCCAAGTCACGGTCACGCCGAACTTCTTGTTTACTGGCCATATGTCCGGGTGAACGTGCTCGTCGCCGAGGACCTTCTTGTACTTTCCCCGGGAGCCCGACGCGGGTGCCATCTTGAAGCCGCTTCCCCGTGACTTGTTGGCGCGAGCACATATCTCGCACCACCGTGGCACGTGGCATGCGCGGAAGGGGGGCCTTTCAGCGACCACGTAACACAGCGCGCCCGGACTGCCACGCCCACCAATGTCCTGCTGCGTCAGATGGGCACCGCATGCGGGGCAGAGCATTCGCAAGCTTGCAAGGACATGCGGGAATGCCTCCATTCCGCGGTCGCGGAGACGATCCCGCAAGGCAGAAGTGGAGTCGGGAGGCAGCAGAAGGTCGCACCCGCTCTCATACAGAGCCTCCTGGAGAGCGGCCGAAGCCGATGTGCTGATACATGCCATGGAACCGATAGCAGGCCGTACGAATCAGGCAAGGTCAGATGACGCTTGAGCCACGGGTTGCTGAGATGGATCGGCCACCCGTGGGCAAGCATCCTGCCAGCCATGCCCGCGTTCTTTATAGCCGCTGCCTCGCAGAACGACTACCCTAGCAGAGCACCCGAATAAGGATGTCGGCGAATGAAAACGCGCAGGCCTAGGTTTTACTATCACGGCCCAGCCTCACGCTCGTTACGCGTGAGGGTTGGAATGGTGAGGAACCCATGGCATTAACGCGCCTTCGTGACCGGTGAGAAGTGGAATGGGCCCCTCGGGGTCCACGTTGTATGCCTGGCGCACGCCACATGAATAATCATATCTAATCATCTAATTCGGAATGGCGCAGGCCATTCGCCGTTTCGCCTTTTCGCTTCCGAGGGCCATCCGAGGCCAAGATGGCTCCCAGATGACCGAGGAGGGCCCCAAGAGTGGCCCAAGAGAGCCCCAGGACGGCCCCAAGAGCGCCCAGGAGCGCCCCAAGAGCGCTCCAAGAAGATCCAAGGAGACGGTTTTTTGTGCTCCCGGGGAGGGGCGCTAATTGCGCCCCCAAGGCTCCCAAAAGCGCCCCAAGAGGGCCCCAAGAGGCGCCCAGGAGACCCCAAGAGGCGCCCCAAAGGCCTCCAAGAGGCTCCCAAGAGTCCCCCAAGAGGCCCCACGAGGCTCCCCGAGGTACCAAAGACCCTCAAAAACGCCCCTGGGCACGCCAAGAGGCCCCCCAGACGCCTCAAGAGGCCTCCAAAAGGCTTCCAAGAGACATCCGAGGAGACTCCGAGAGGCAGTCACGAGGCTTCTGGCTCTGCGGGTCGCCCTTTTCCTCCTCCTCCTCCTCCTCCTCCTCCTTCTCCTCCTTCTCCTCCTCCTCCTTCTCCTCCTCCTTCTACTCCTCCTCCTCCTCCTCCTCCTCCTCCTCCTCCTCCTCATCACCATCATCATCCGCTTATTCCTCGTCCTCCCGCCTCCCTCCTCCCTCTCCTCCACCTCCCGCCTCCCTCCTCCCTCTCTTCCACCTCCACCTCCACCTCCTCCTCCTCCTCCTCCTCCTCCTCCTCCTCCTCATCCTCCTCCTCGTCCTTCTCCACGTTCTCTTCCTCTTTCCTCCTCCTCACCCTCATCCTCAGCCTCCTCCTCCTCCTCCACTCCTCCTCCTCCTCCTTCCTCGCCCTCTTGGGGTACGACGGTTTCTCCGGCCCTTTGCTCCTCTGCAAGATCTCTCACTTCCCTGATCACGTCAACTCGCCTGGGCGTCGTTTCTGGATGGGCTGATGGGGATACGTAAATCCTCAAGAATTGCGAATCAAACTCGACACGTTCAAAGCTGACCTCAATGTATCATGTGGTACGCACCCGTCAGATCCAATGCAGATTGAATGCACGACCTCGCACTCCCTAGAAAGGGATGGCGGCGTGCCAATCTTTCAGCCTTCCCTCACGCTCCCGCTTCGTCTTCCCTGTTCAGCCTCCCCTTTTTCTTGCTTCCCTCGTCCGCCCTCCATCCCCCCCTCGGTCGTGCTCGTCGTCATGGTCCTGCTTCTGCTCCTCGTGCTCCTCCGCCTCCCCCTTCTCGACATCATCCTCCTCCAGCTTCGCCTCCTCCTCGTCCTCATACACATCGCGCCCCTCATCGCATCGTGACTATGTGCGCGCGTCCTCGCACACCTCCTGATCAACTCCTCGTCCTCGTCGTCGTCATCACCACCACTACCACCACTATCATCATCATCATCATCACCACCATCATCATCGCCATCGCCATCGTCATCGTCAGCATAATCATTATCATCATCATTACCATGATAATCACCATCATCATCACCATCATCATCGCCGTCATCACCATCGGCATCATCACCAGTATCGCCGTCATCATCATCGTCATCATCGTTGGCACCACCATGTAATATTCACCATCATCATCAACGTCATCATCATCATAATCATCCTCATCATCACCATCATCATACTCTCCGTCGTCGTCGTCGTCACCACCATCGTCATCGTCGTCGTCGTCGTCGTCGTCTTCAACAGCAACAGCATCGGCATCATAATCCGCCGGCCCCGTCGGCGTGTGTGAGGGGGAGTTCTGGGTCCGTCGTCCACGGGCGGCTCTAAAAAATGCTCCTTCATTCGATTTGCTCTTCCATTCCCAGAGCCTCTCTCGAGACCCTCTTTGGCGCGAAATCTCGCCAACTCGAAGTGAATCGAACGAAATCGTAATCTAAGTCGTCATTGAGTCGAAGGGAAGCCCCTTCCCTTTGATCCCTTCCCCACCCGGGGGGGGGTCCTGGGGAGGTCCCGGAGGGAGTCCCTGGGGGGTCCCGGGTCAGAATACCGTTCCCCCTTTCCCTTTTCGGGTCATCTTCGAACAAATGCGGCCCTCCTTCGGCAAGTCAGGTTCACGATAATCCAACAGGGGCCCAAGAGGGCGCAGAATCGCCAAAAGATCGCTCGAAGACGCCGAAAATGGCCTCCGGACGGCCCAAGACGCATCCAAGACGGCCCAAAAGTGCTTCAATAATACTCCCAAGAGGGCCCCAAACTGTGCATGCAGGAGGCAAGCATACCAGGGTTCCTCCTAAAAACACGCCAGCCCTTCGAACAAAATCCATGCGAGGGGCGAGCATGGCCAGGGCCAACCCCATGTGGGAGAAAACGCAAACCTCTAAGAGAAGCCGCACTGTCACGAACCAGGATACATCCAGCAAAACATGATGGAACGACGGTTCCTCCTAGAAACAAGCCAACCCTGTGCGAAAGAACATGAAGAAACGTAAACAAAAACGGACAGGGCAAAAAGGCTGGGTAGCCGGAGTGGGCGAACATGGAAGGAGGAGGAGAGGGGAAAGGTAGGGGAAGCCCAGGTTGAGCTTGGAAACGAATCGACTCTGGGCAAATTGTGAACGCAGGGGGCCACCATACCAGGGTTCCTCGTAGAAACACGCCAGCCCTTCGCAAAAGTCCATGCAAGGGGCGAGCATGGCCAGGGCCAGCCCCACGTTGGAGAAAACGCAAGCCGCGCTGTCACGAACCAGGGGGCATCCAGCAAAACATGAGGGAACGACGGTTCCTCCTAGAAACAAGCCCGCACTGTGCGAATGAGCAGGAAGAAGCGAAAACAGAAACGGACAAGCAAAAGGCTGGGTAGCCGGGATGGGCGAACATGGAAAGAGGATGAGAGGGGAGGGGGAAGGAGGCCCAGGTTGTGCCTAGAAACGAGCCAGCCCCCGGCAAATTGTGCATGCAGGGGGCAGCATGAACAGGGCCAGCCCCTTGTGGCTGAAAGCGCACCCCCCTGGGAGAAGCCGAGCTGTCGCGAACCAGGGGGCGTCCAACAAAACATGAGGGAACGACGGTTCCTCCTAGAAACAAGCCAGCTCTGTGCGAAAGAGCGTGAAGAAACGTAAACAAAAACGGACAGGGCAAAAGGCTGGGTAGCCGGGATGGGCGAACATGGAAGGAGGAGGAAAGGAGAGGGGGAGGGGAAGCCCAGGTTGTGCCTAGAAACGAGGCTGCCCTGGGCAAATTGTGTATGCAGGGGGCGAGCACACTAGGGTTCCTCGTAGAAACGCGCCAGCC